TGTATTCTGTTTACAAAAACACTTGTTTTTTTTTTTTAACAGAATGGACAAAGGGTAGGGATGCTACTTTCAGGCCTTGCTCCCTCTTTGTAGGAACTAGCTTCAAGATTTTTATAGTAAGCAGCAGTCATCCGCTATTACTATACTTATTAAAAAGCAGAACTTATGCAGTTTATACAATAAACATTTGCTGTTAGAAAGCTAGATAAGTCGCAACACAGACATTTGATTCTTGGTGTACCACCTGTGCTGTCTATAGAAAGGATTAATAGGTGCAGATTTTTTATTTGCATTATTTTCCAAGTCACTGCCAGCAGTACCTGTGGCTGGGAGAGGAGGTAGTAAGAGATCTGTAGATGTATTCATATAACTTGTCTATCAGGTTTTATTTTCCTTTATTTCCATTCTAATTAGTTCATTTGGTTTAGGGCTGTAGAAGTGATTTGGCCACAGCTGAGTCGCCAGAATAGCTTCTATTGTAAAGACGAGAGTCCCGTGAGCTTTAGCCGCCGGGACTCTGTCTAAACGGGCCCAAGGCCAGTGACGTACCATGTACATGTAAATTCACTGGTCACGAAGGGTTAAAGGAGAAATATGGGGTTAGGGCTTTTCCCCATAGTTCTCCTTAGGGTAACAGGAGGACACAAACTAGCGTCCTCCCGTCACCCTAAGCTCAGGGTATACCGCGAACTCAAGCTCGCGGTATACTGAGACGCCGCAGTATACTGCGAGCTCCAGCTCGCAAGATACTGAGACGCTGAAGGGGATCCCGACAATTATGTCTGGATCCACCCAGCTGCGTGAGTGACAGCTGGCTCTGCCTATCTAGAGGCAGAGCCAGCTGTACCCGCCCCCTCCCCTGTCCATTCCGCCAGTCAGCGCTGGAGGATCGGAGGGGGGAATCCAGTCCCTCCCCTGTCACGGCAGAGAGCCGTGACAGGATTGAGAAGTGAGCGAACGCCGGTATGTGTACGCTCACCTCCCGATCTACTGAGCCGACCTGTGACAGTCTCATTGTCACAGGTCGGCTAGAACTATGAGGATGAGTGAAAAGCACTCACCTCATAGTTCTCTTTTACAGTTTGAAACATCCAGTAGACACTGTCCAACATATTTTGTCTTAACACAGACTACTTATACTTATTTTTTGTAATACAGCAGAAGAGACCAAAACAGTTTTCCTCTAAAGGGAACCTCTGTGAAGCAACGAGGAGGCTACCACTGCATGCTTCCCATTCTGCAAATGCTTGTTGCTCAGCTCTTATGATGGCACTTGAGTAATCAATTAAGAATAGTATAGATGAGGAGTTTTGACACTCCTGTTTCTGATCTGAATAGTTCCAGGTAGAGGACCTAAAGTATGGAAGCCAGGGGGTACAGTTGTAACAGCTAGGCATTTTCTGTTTAGGGCAACACCATATATCGAGGCGACTGACATGGGGGGCAAACTGCTGCAAGTTTGAAGTACAGAATTGTAGGCCTGCCTATACATGTAGCGTCGTGAAGCTTAAATATCACATTCTGACTAGCAAAGCTCAGACACATCTGCATGTGTTGGGAGCTTTCCCCGCTATTAAGCCTTGCCTAAAGATTCCTGTTGATCTATTACTATAACAAAAATGCAGACAAATGCTGTAAATGCAGCTTGCAGTATTGTTCTCCCAGCTTTTTGTGATGAATAACAGGGCCTTCTAGTTGAAAGGTAATTGTGAGAAAATGAACCTCTGCCCACCCCTGCTATTCATACAGTTTATCTGCATGTGGAGCCCCCCTGCCACTAGCGGCTGTACTGTCCGTACACCGGACTGCATCGGTAATGTTTAAATGGCAGTTTTCTGCCTGTATTCTGGGCAAGTAACTGGATATTGTACATTTGATCAGAATGCCTTGTGTGCTTTTTCTTTAGGCCCTTTTAGAAAGAACAGCATACACACTAGATGTGACAACTGGTCAAAGAAAATATGGCGGCCCACCACCAAACATGGTCCACTCAGGGCAACAGCCTTCTGTTGGCACAGAGGTAAAAAAAAAAAGTTATTATTCAGCAACATACAACTATATATTAGTTCAAATTGTGTATGTAATATCCTCCTCTTTTTCCACCCAGATATTTGTGGGAAAGATTCCAAGAGACCTTTTTGAAGATGAGCTTGTTCCATTGTTTGAAAAGGCAGGAGCAATTTGGGACCTGCGTTTAATGATGGATCCTTTAACTGGGTTAAATAGGGGATATGCTTTTGTTACATTCTGTACTAAAGACGCTGCCCAGGAGGCTGTCAAGTTGGTAAGTGTTGGGTCTCTTTGATGTTTCAGAGGAACTTCTTGCAATCATACTTATGTATTTTGTTCCTTAAGATAATTTTTTTTCTTTTTTAATACAGTATAATAACCATGAGATTCGCCCTGGAAAACATATTGGTGTATGTATCTCTGTTGCCAATAATAGGCTTTTTGTTGGGTCTATTCCAAAAAGTAAAACTAAGGAACAAATTGTGGAAGAATTTAGCAAAGTTACAGGTAAGGAATGTTTGTGGTGACCAAGTATAGTTTTGGGTAGTTAAAGAACCACCACCTTTAGTGCTGCCACTCTTTGCCATCTGATAAAATACCTCTTACAGGACCCTGGTGCTCCAGTGCATGTGACGCCTAGGCTGAACATTTTGGATGGCCCATTGTTCTAACAATTGTGCAGCAGTGAATCCCTAAAGTTTAATCTATGGTACATACGCTGCTAATCAGCTGCTTGCATTTATGCGGTTTGGGGAAATTACCTGCAAAGAATATTAGCGGTAAAACGGTGCTGCCATTGCTGATCTTATAAATATGCTAATTACCCACTTTTGTAAATACGTTTGCTTTGGTACTTCATATAATTGACAATTAGGTGAATCAGAGACAAGTTGGGGGTCTGGACATATATACTACTACTACAGAGTTTATCATTTTAGTATTAAAGTAGAAGGGCCAGTAAGCCAACTGGGAGCCTTGCAAAGAGGACTTGACAAAACATCCTACAGTTTTCTCATGTTTGTTTTATGGTAGAAATGTAGACCAAAATATCAGCATATTTTGTATGAAATCACCTTATCCCTGTAACGTTTAGGAAAATAACTTGAGATTAGATTCTCCAAGTTCCAAACTGCCAGAATTTCACTAAGCACTGTTTTGGAACAAATTGTGGGAACAGGATACACCACCTAGAGCAGGGTTCTCAAACCTCAGGCCCTCCAGCTGTGGTGGAACTACAAGTCCCATGAGGCATTGCAAGATTCTCAGACATGACTCCCGAAGAGATGCATCATGGGATTTGTAGTTTCACCACAGCCGGAGGTTTGAGACCCCTGACCTAGAGTGTGTTTTGTTTTTTGGTTTTTCTGAGCAGTATTCTAGGCCTGTATAGATATGGTGGACTAGTAAAGCACAATAACTGGTCTGCATGTCTAATGGCCTGTATATTTGTAGTAATAATTTTTATAGCTGCTCCTCTGTACAGATTTATATTAAACATCAAAAGAGACTTCAACTTTTAAGTAAAATTCCCCTAGCTCCTTAAACTAAAGCTGAAACTCCCATCCTTGAGGTGGCTGATCTGTCACCTTTGCTGACTGGAAACTGGCTGTGCAGCCTTTTTATTTTTTATTTTTTTTTCTAGGGTGGAAAGAAAGCAGAAATGTGCAGCCATTTTAAATATTTGGTGATATAAGTGGCAGTCTACTTGTAATTGTATATGATGCGATTACATGTGGTTTGGAATAGATCATTGTCCGTGGACACTTCTATGTTGTGTCCAGTGATTAATCTATTCCAAACCACATTTTTTTGTATTAAATACAATTACATGCTGATTCTCTTACAGATGCGGCCACGATCACCCGGTCATTAACTTGGATGGGTGACAGCAGCCATATCCAAAAAGGAGATTTGGGATTCCTGCAAGAGTCCTGAATCGTATAGTGTGCATTGTACCCGAAGTGTCTGTATTTCAAAACTTAAAGCTGTTTAACTTTGCCGAAAGTTTTCGTTCATGTTTAAAACTTTTCCTAATGTGTTTATATCGCCACAGAGGGTCTTACCGATGTCATATTATATCATCAACCAGATGATAAGAAAAAGAATAGAGGTTTCTGTTTTCTTGAATATGAGGATCATAAAACGGCAGCTCAGGCTAGGCGTCGACTAATGAGTGGCAAAGTGAAAGTATGGGGTAATGTTGTGACTGTGGAATGGGCAGACCCTATTGAAGATCCTGATCCAGAGGTGATGGCAAAGGTAATGTGCATTTATCAGATGACTCCCTAATAGGCAGGTACTAACTGCTGCACCTTCAATTAATGTACGTTCTATTCAGGTTCACTTCTATTGTGTATTTGCAAAAACAAATGATAGGTAATCTGTCCAATAGTGTCAGATCGGAGTGGGGAAATGTTAGAACCTCTGTCCGCATTACCAGTTGGACATTTTCTTCCACCTGGGAGACTGGTGACATCGGGGGATTGTGTATAGATATATCACACATTTATATACCATAATGTCTCAATCGTGTACTTGCACTGCAGTGTTTACATATAGGTACCAGATTTCTGAGGGCTTTTTCAGATGGGTCCTTTAGTGGCAAGTAAGTGACCCCTGCAAAGTGCCCAGTTTGATAGTGTTACTGAGCCTAATGGCTCCATATAAATCTGTGTTTAGTGTGGCACTGCAGAGGCCGGGCATTGTAGGCAGTGTTTGGGCTGTGTCTGATCATAGAGTTCTATTGCTTCTCATTTCAAACAAAGTATAATGTCCCAAAAAATGGACGATTTAGTTATTTCCAGTGCCTGTGTAAACAATTCATATATAATTTTTTTTCTTGCCAGTGATTCTCAAATCACTAAGTTGCAAAAGTCAGCACTACTGTGCTATATGGAAGTGCAACATGTGATGGGCTTATGAGGAGCTTCTGTCATTCATTTATTCACTTTGCTTGTCTGTGATGAAATGACAGTTTGCTAGATGTTACATTGGTTGCTTACAGTTGCCACCTCAGATATTGAAACGCTGAGCCTTGCATTTTAATGGCAGAAAGGGGGGGCGGGGGTACCCCACTTTTTTTTTCTCCATTGGGCCCCCATTAAATTCCATACCAGACACCCATCTCTGATGAGGGTCTGGACTGAATTTTGTAGGGACCACTTTTTTACATTTTAGACTGAGGTGCCTCAATGTTTTGCATATTTGTAAAGGATGTTGTGACTAAAAAGAAAAGTTGAAACACTGGGCTAATGTTATGAAAATGTAAAGTTACAATTGAGTGGGTAAAATAACTTGCAGTATGATTACTGTGGGTTTTTCTTTCAGGTTAAAGTTTTGTTTGTTCGTAACCTTGCAAACACAGTTACAGAAGAAATCTTGGAAAAAGCATTTGGACAGTTTGGTAAACTGGAAAGAGTTAAGAAACTGAAAGACTATGCTTTCATTCATTTTGATGAACGAGTTGGTGCAGTAAAGGTAAGTTCTTCAGTTGTTGCTTACCTGACAGCATACATATATGTGGGTAGATGAAAATAACCTGGTTGCATACCTCCCAATGGCTTAGCTTGGGTGTGAATTCCTTTGTTTTAAGCCTGGCATATCCACCTGGTATTTTGGGGCTGTATGCACTCCACCCTCACTGGGTAAGTTTAAAAATGTAAACTGTGACATCCCAGGCTTTTCTTCAGTTGATGGACTACACTGCCTTACATTATTAATACTTCAGCAATGTTTGATAGGCCATTTCTAAGGGGATATAACATTGCAAGTTACAGCTGCCATTATTGCTAATGTTAAAGTGCTGTCTGCTTTTTCTGGAATTAAATTGATATGATGCACATAATATGGCCCCTTTCAGATTTCTTCCACTAATTCAGGCTTTGTTTCATCTGAGATGAAATGCTTGTGTTTAACGCTTGAAGACCAGTTGCACAATTTCTTTCTAGAATTTCTACCCTGCAGTAAGAGCCACAGAGCTGTGCAGATTTCTAAAATGCCACCTTTTGATTTTAAAAATTGCAGGTAAAAACACAGAACAATCAAGTTATTTAAAATGTTAAAATTAAACATTAAAAATACTTCCATAGTTTCCCCTTTCCATATTTTTTTTTATTCATGCAATATGCGCCTTGACGCTTATTAGAAAAACTGACTAGCATTCTTATAGGAATGTCTAATTATGGTCTGTGCCGAGCAAGGTTCTCCATTCTTCCTTTTACCTTCTTGCAATACCATGTATTTAGCTGGCAGGGGAGAGTAGTGAAGGAGAATACTATAGTGTCACTTGCCTGCTAGGGCTGTTAACAAATCAGGATGGTGGTGCCCAGTAGCAGTTTCAGGGCTTTTGAATGTCTACACAAGGGAGGCTTTTCCAGGTAAACGCATGCATAGGATACGTTAAATGCACATAGAATGTTTATGGAATATTTTGGTTGAGATAAATGGTCTGACTATAGGGTCTGTTCAAACACAGTTGGAATTTTGCATGTGATCTTGACTGTGCAATTGAGGCTTTTCTATTTTTTTATCTGAGTAACGTAGTTAATTGCGGTGTATATTAACACTTCTGTTAAAACAGGCTATGGATGAAATGAATGGAAAAGAGCTGGAAGGTGAGAACATTGAAATTGTTTTTGCCAAGCCACCTGATCAGAAAAGGAAGGAACGGAAAGCTCAAAGGCAAGCAGCTAAGAATCAAATGTAAGATTGTATTCTATTTGGTAGAACTGATTTTTTTTCTCCCCCTTAACTAATAGTTTCTTGGGTAATGCATAGTGCAGATCTGTATTTTTAAACCAACTTATTTTGCTTTGTAGCATTGTTGGACGGTGTGTGAGAGTAGGTGAGCAGTTACTAACAACTGGGGGGGTTCAGGAAGTTTCCGCACTTCAGACTTTTATTCTGTCCTGTTTTAGGGGCACTCTAAGTTGACAGCAGGATGTACACAAAAAGTAACACACATTTTTAGGTTGTTTTTTCTGTAAGTGCATTTAACATGTAAGATATATTTTGAGATTACTTTATTCATTATAATTTGTTCTTTATTTTAACAGGTATGATGATTATTACTATTATGGTGGTCCTCATATGCCACCTCCTTCCAGAGGCCGTGGCAGAGGAGGTAGAGGTGGTTATGGATACCCTTCTGACTATTATGGCTATGAAGATTATTATGATTATTATGGCTATGACTACCATAACTACCGTGGTGGATATGATGATCCTTTCTATGGTTACGAAGACTTTCAAGTCGGATCTAGAGGCAGGGGTGGTAGAGGAGCAAGAGGTGCTGCTCCATCCAGAGGTCGCGGGGCCGCACCTCCCCGTGGCAGAGCCGGTTATACACAAAGAGGAGGCCCAGGATCAGCAAGAGGCGCGAGAGGTGCGAGAGGAGGTGCCCAGCAACAAAGAGGCCGCGGGGTACGTGGTGCGAGGGGTGGCCGCGGTGGAAATGTAGGAGGAAAGCGCAAAGCTGATGGGTACAACCAGCCAGATTCCAAGCGGCGCCAGACCAATAATCAGAACTGGGGCTCCCAACCCATTGCTCAGCAACCGCTCCAAGGTGGTGATCATTCTGGTAACTATGGTTACAAATCTGAAAACCAGGAATTTTATCACGATTCTTTTGGGCAACAGTGGAAGTAGAACAGTAGGGCTTCTGTTAAATTACAGACTAATAGGTTGATCAGGAACTGATTGGCCCAAAATCTGAATGGTTGCCGCTCTAATTTGTGACATCTGGCAAGATTTACTTATACATGTATATATTTTATCAATCCGCTTGGACTTTGAACAAAGCCACACACCTAACTGCTTCTAGCGAACTGATTTTATTTTATTCATTTAATTTTTTTCTTTTCAAGTTATTCCATACAATGCATTCCTAGCTGTAGTTTGGGGTTAAAGATAACATTACATTTGTGCTAAAACAATAGATGAACAAATAATTCGTGCATTGTTTTCAGTGAAATTTAGTTGTGGTATCGTTACAAGGAAAACGTTAATTACAAACAGAAAAAAAAGGAATCTCGTCTCTTGAAAATCTTGTATTGGTGTAGTCATGTTTGTATGTTGAGAATATAAATTACCTGACAGAGAAGTTTCAGTTTTAAAATGTGGTTTTTATTTTCCCTCCATTAGGAATTTGACTTAGTTTGGTATTTCAAAAGCTTTTTGGCTATACCTGTATTTCGTGCTTTTCAATAAAAACAAAATTGACATCTAAATGTACCTTATCTAAATTTTTGTCTTGGCAAGATGTATTTAATTCGGCTCAAATTCTTTTTTTTTTTTTTTTTTTTTTTAAAACA